ATTTGTTCAATGAAATAAAAAATTTTTTTTACTTGGAACGAAGTTTAATCTGTAATGTATTTTCCATTTTATTCGATGACCTTTTGCCATCTCTCCGACAACTTGAAAATTCCACGCTCGTGGAAAGTCTGATCCTTTTCGGCCAAAAACTGAGTTAAGTGAGATTTTACAGCGTCGTCGTCGATAAAAGTTTTACCACGAAGTGAGTTGTCCAGGGATCGAAATAAGTGGTGATCCGATGGCGCGAGATCAGAGCTATATGGTGGGTGTAACATCGATTCCCAACCAATATCCATCAATTTTTGCCGAGTGGACAAAGACGTGTGCGGCCTAGCATTGTCCTGCTGGAAAATGACACCTTTACGATTGACCAATTCTGGTCGCTTTTCCTCGACCGCTGCATTCAATTTATCCAGTTGCTAACATTCACGGATAATAAAAAATAACATAATAATAATAATAATAATTTTATAATATAACATTCACGGATATCATAAAAATGGGAGTGAGAGACATCTATAATTGAAATCGGCAATTACTTAGTTGCCAACCCAATATATCGAAGCGGTTCGATTATTAAACACGGTCGTTTAAAATGCGATACCTCGAAGATGTACCGAAGAGGTACTCGTTTTTGTGAAAGTGATCGAAGAATGTAGCTGTTGGAAATTAACGTGTCACCTTATCTGTTGCAATTATACGTTATCGCAGAATTTTTCGATACCCAAGGAAAATTAGTTTCGCTGCCTAAAAAGTTCGTTTACGGCAGGGTGTGATGGAACCGGTTACCGTGGGATGACCAATTGCCGCGCCTTTGGTTCGTTTTCGTATTTTCATATTATAAGACGCATTAAATTTTGTTCACTCCTTTATTCCGTTTATTTTCGAATAAAACAACCGGCCGCGCTACCCTACAAACGATATAAAAATGCTACCAGTTTTTGTCCCTTTTCAATTTTACGCAGCTGCCATAAATCCGTTAATAAATAAGTCACGTCCAGGCGAATCAAATTAATTCGACCGCCCCGACGCGAGATCCGCGATCAGGATCGCACGCACACGTGTGATACCACGAACGAACGTCTCAATACGAAGATTTTTAAGCAAAGTATAAATTACCACCGATCCCTGTCCACTTCGAATAAATCTTGTACGGCGATAAACGCGTTCCGAGCCATATGCCGAGACAAGCCCGATGAGTTATGATGCGCGGCCCGTTAAGTAGATCATGCTAAGTCCGATCGGTCGGAGAAATAAAGTAAACGGGGCCTGGCCATCGTGAAACGTCGTATCGAGCGTTAGGCGGCGGCGGTGGATCGATCCGTGCCCGTAATTTACTGACGCGCAACGATTTAATTGAGAACGGCGCATCATAATCGCGTTTCTGCGGGGCCCGAACGGCGCTGCGCGGCGTCGTTCGGCGGCCCTAGAGTGGACGCGATTCAGGGAAAGTCACACGCTCGTAAATCAGCGGCGGTAATGGGCACCGTTAGATTTGCAATGATAATCCGATGGTAATGCATGCGATTCGGTCGAGCGAGCGAACCAGAAGATAATTAACGACCACGAGGCTCGCGGATAGTTCGCCGAACTATCGGCACCGTCGTCGTCGTCGTCGATTGTCGTGATCCCCAGGGATTTACGAGGCTCGCGGACTCGGACCGACCAAAAGGAAGCCTTCTTTCCGTTTCATAGCTCGATAATCTGTCGGCAATTCTTGACCAACCACTCTTTCCGAACGATCCCGCCGGCCACTGGATTTCGACTTTCGAATCATGAATTCGACGAGCGGCCCTAAACGCTTGTGCCCGGCTGCCATTTTTACGGCGAACCGTGAGAAACAATGGCGAGCACCGTAAACAATTCTCGAAGGTTCAGGCTGTTATACCGTTCATCTCGTCGGAGGAAACAGTAAAACAGGAACCCAGAATTTTTTCAGACTACGTAATGTGTCCGGAGGGTAGCCGGCTGAACGACTCACCACCTTCTCGGTGATCTATCGATCTTCCCAGCCACTTTGCGTCGAAACGCAACTCTTCGCCGCAAATCGTCGGAGAAACGATATAAGTCAATGTAAATCTCCGTTTCTATGTTTTAACGTGTCCAGGAGCTAGCTAGAAGGACGACGATCTTTCTGCCGATCTATCAATCTTCTCGGCTATTTATCTCGCGATCGATCGGCGGAGTCGACGCTGCCCTTCATCGCAACTAATCGGTGATCGAGCATAAACATTCTAAGCGAACGAAAATCTGAGTTATTAAAAAACTTGTCTCTTAATGCGACTGATTCGAAGATCGACGATCTATCGATCTTCTCAGCCACTTTGCGTCGAAACGCTACTCTTCGCCTCAAATCGTCGGAGGAACGATATAAGTCAATGTAAATCTCCGTTCTATAAAATTTTTATGTTTTAACGTGTCCAGGAGCTAGCTAGAAGGACGACGATCTCTCTACCGATCTATTAATCTTCCGGGCTATTTATCTCGCGATCGATCGGCGAAGTCGACGCTGCTCTTCACGCAAGTAATCGGTGATCAAACATTCTAAGCGCACGAAAATCTGAGTTATTAAAAAACTTGTCTTTTAATGCGACCGATTCGAGGCTTGACGATCTATCGATCTTCCCGAGCACTCGTGCCATAATTGATCGCGAAGATCGGTAGTACCTCGAACGACCGGGGCCTGAATAGAACAGGAATCTCTGTTTTTTTGACGTTTCCGCGCAACATTATGTCCAAAGGGTTGCCAAGTCCGGCGGTTCCACGGCGATCTATCGATCTCCCCGGCCGTTAATAAGCGTCTTATCGACAACACCGAGGGAATGCTCACGGTTACCACTGATTCCACTGATCGATCGCGGGATAAGCGGCCGGGACGTCTTGCGGCGGGTATAATGGATGACGCTGCGAGCGCGTCGCGCAGGCAGCGGCCATTTACCATTCAATTACGCCGCAATTACAGGATCGTGTGCGTTCCGCGGCTACGGCTGACCGCCGACAACCGTCCCGATCCGCGGGATCTCTAATTGACGACCGGTTAAACAAATGCCCGCGGAGAGAGATCCTCGCGATTGCGGGACGCGGTGTACCTACCCCCGAACGTCCCAAAAACCGTGCCGGTGTCTTTTGCCACCGATCGTCGTCGCGGACGTTCCGTCGTCGCGCAACATTCAACGGCGAATAAACGTCGCGACGACTAATGTGACGAGCCTCGCGAACCGTTTGGGAATACGCGTCGCCGCTGAAATGTTACCGGAAAGAGTACATTTTAAGCAGCGACGACTCCTCGTTCGGCCAATTGAATCTGTTCCGTTCGAATGAATGCAACGGCGCGAAGATAGCGTAATGGGACGATAAATAAGCTCGACGTTAGGGAGGACCTAACAAGATAAAGACGATGCGTTCGGATATTTAACACCGAATATAAAGCGAAACGATCGGAGATATTAGTACGCGCGAAGTTGCTATTGAAGTTTCAAGATATTCGAATTCCTTCGGGAAATGTGACTGAAAACGAATCTCCGAGGATCCGAGGCCTGTCGGAAACTTTACGCAAGGCGGTGGTTGTCTTCGTCCTCCGTAAAACGAGCAACGGAGCAATCGAACGTTCGCGATTAACAGAAATTGTAAAACTCACCCTTGGACAGCATGCGGGGGTGCAGGTCTCGGCGGCGGTGGCAGCGACTTCCTTCCAGGCGTGTTCTGTCGAGGTGCGAGCGGCGGGGGCGGCGAACTAGGCGACCCAGAGCCGCTGAATCTTTCGGGGGGACACTGTGGTTGAGGTTTCTGCTTCGGAGCGTCGATGTACTTCGGCGGCAGGGCGTAGTAGTTCCTCTGCGTTGCGTCCCCATGGCGTTGGTGATGGTTCGCCACGTATTTCGGCGGCTCGTGGTACTTCTGAGGACTGGACTCCGCCGGGAACATCTTCGAGTTGGCCTCGTAGCCGGTCTTCACCGGACTACCGATCGAGAAGCCGTGGCCTCCAGCTTCCAGGTACTTGGAGGCGCTCTTCTGGTTCTCGGGAACAGGTAGATAGTTCGGTCTCGCCGATTGGTTGGCCTGATTGCCGGAGGAACTCTTGTCGACGCTCTTGGGCACCTGGGGCTGAGGTCTCTGGCCGGAAGACGACTCCAGTCTCTGGGAAGATTCGTTTCTCAGCAGGCCGGAGACGTCCAGCCTGGAACTGTCCACTCTCATAGACTCCTGTCTGATGATCCTCGGCTCTACCGGGACCTGTGGTGCCGGCCTCTGGTTCCCGGAGTCGCTGTACCGCTGGGAAATGAGATCGGGCAGCTGCGCCGGGGGTCTGTTGGCGAACGAGCGCTCCTCGGATATCCTCCTCGCCGGCGTCACTCTTCCGTTCACCATCAGCTTCTGCGTAGAGGGGTATCTCAAGCTGGACCTACCTGTGGCCACCATTCTATGAGTAGCGAACCCAGCGGAGACGCCGTTCTCAAGAACTAGCTCCGACTCGGCGTGTTTCAGGGCTATGGTGGCTCTCACGAACTGGTGATCCTGTTCCTGCGGAGTCTTCGTCGGAGAGTTCGGAGATGACTTCCCGGAAGACGCGGACTTCTCGTGCTCCCTCTTGTTACCGTGCTTGGATCTTCTCATCGAGTGTCTCTCCAGCTTGTGTCTATCGCAGGACCTGTCTCGAGCCTTCGACTCTTCCGGATGGTGGTTAGACTTCCTCTGAGAGTCCGCGAAGCAGTCCTCGCTGAGTTCCGGCGGCGGAGGCGGCAGAGGGTCGTCGCAGTCGTGGACTTCGTTCTCGGTGACCGTCGGAGGCGAGGGCGGAGGCAAGTCTGGGCTAGGAACCCGGTCGTTGTACGCGTTCCTCAAGTGCGGCTTCTTCGGTGGCCTTTCCGGCACCCAGTCGTCGATGGATATAGCCGGCCCAACGATAACCGGGCCCAGCAAATCCGTGGATAAGCTGCCGCAGCTGTTGCTGTGCTGGTGCTTGGGACTCGGCAGGTCCCCGTTGCCCTGGCTCTGACTTCTGTTTGCGTTCTCTCGCCAGGCACCGCTGGCATAGTCGGAAGCGGAGCTAGCTCGTCTCGAGGACGACGGCCTGGGACGGGGCGGCGGCTGCGGCGGCGGACTCTGCGGGGCTGGAGCCGTTCCCTGGGCCAACTGTGGCTCGGACCGCCAAGAAGCTTGGTGATGACGCTCGTAGAAAGACAATAATGCTTTTTTCTGGATAGCTTTCAGCGTAGGATCGGAGACGCGGTGACGTTTCTCGGGGTCTAGGTAGGTATAGCGCATCTGCTGCTGTTGCTGCTTCTCTAGCTCGTTTATGCGCTCTGCCACGGACATCTGGGGCGGCTGGGTCGAAGAGATTCTGGAAGAAGAAGGTCGAATGTAGGAGACGTAGCGGGTAAATCGATTAACCTATTAATCTGTTATCTATTATCTAGCCTTTCTCCTACTTTATTGACAGAGTCAAACACAGTTGCGAACTGAATTTGTAGCGGTACCTCGTGGTCTGCGCAGGCTCCTGGGGCTGCGTGGTGCTGACAGGGTACAGTTTTCGCTGGTTCCTCTCGCGATCCAAGTAGAGGACGCTCTCCGAATGATGTCTCTGCGGAGTCTGCACTCTGGCGCTGTGGGCGATCAGCTGCTTGCTGCAAGACAGTCCGTTGGACTGGCTGACGTCGGACATGGACCCGTGGATCGGGTTCCAGGTCTCCGGACTCTGGGGACTCGTCGGCTGCTGGCGAATAGGGCTCTGCGGCATAGGCTGCGCCAGCGATCCATATTTATCGTTCTCGATCCGCATGGAACCGTCCCATTCGGAGCTCGCCTGCGATTTATCCAGCGACTCCTCGTCGATGTTCGACTCCTGCCACTTGCTCTCTCGCACCGTCGAAACGTCGGCAACGTTCGTCGACGAGCTACAATGGCTGATCACTGCTGGCAAGCTGGATCTGCCCTGGTTCTGCTTGTTGCGGTCGTTCATCGTCACCTGCCACTTGTCGGGCCATTTCTCGCTGTGTCTGCCCTTCGTGGTCGGGGAGAGCCCGGTGCTGCTCACATCGCTCATAGAACCCTGCCACTTGTCGTGGCAACCGTTGCTCGATTTTTGCGGCAGAATCCCGCCGTTCACGCTGCTGACATCCGACATTGAACCGTGGTGCCAGCGATCCGACGTACTCTGCCGAGCCGGTAGACCGCTAGACACGCTCACGTCCGACATCGAGCCGTGCCATTTCAGGGTCTCGCTGCTCGAGGCACTGCCGCTCGAGGTGGTCACCACGCTGTCTCTCCCCTCTCTGGAGGTGTCCTCCCAGGTGGAGGTTGGCCTTTGTGCCACTGCCTCGCTGTCTCTCCGTAATCTGGAAGGGAAGCAACGGAAATTGTTGGATTAATTATGTTTCAGTCCGCCGTGAAAGTGGATGATACTCCGAACGAATCTCCGCAATTACTATAAAATCGTTAAAGATGCCAATATGTCGATGTACTCGACAGCTTTAGCGATTATATAGATAGTGATCGAGCTGGAAGTTCATTGTTGGTAATAAATGCGGTAATAGCTTTCTTGTAAATGAGAAATTAAAGCAAACCGTTTGAAACAACAAAGAGAATCGAGAATATTGTCAATACCTGTCGAGGAACGGGGTGTTCGTCGTGGAGTCCACGCTGGAAACATAACTGTGGTAGCCTTCGGATTGTGCGTAGCTGGCTTGTTGAGAGTGCTGCACCCTCGTGTACTCCTCGAGACCTGCTTGTGTCAGTGTGGCCTCCCTGTATATGTCCACCTGCGCCAACAGAAGTTGCTTACATCAATAATCTAAAGCGACTAGCCGAATCTAAATTTCAGATTCAACGTTTTAAATAAGAATGCGACTTGAATAGCTCGAAAAGTATCGTCAGATAAAATTGTGAACACAAGAGCATCGCTTTGGGTGACTTCAACGCAAGGCTAGCCGCACTGCCTAGGAGACCTCAACGCGCTGTTAGGCGTGTTTCTCGAGAAACATCAATGCATGGATAGATGCATCATGCGGGAGACTTCAACGCGTGGTTAGAACAGCATTTTCGAATTTAAATAGACCCTTCGCCTAATAGTGAGTCGATGTTAAATAAAACGTAAGAATAATATAACACGAAACATTAATCCTTTGCCGAAACATTATCTTCGCAATTACTATAATTACTTTTCCCATTGTAATAATTTCTTAGAAGAAAAAGCAGATTTGTATGTATATAGTGAGCCAATATTTACTCGAATGCTTAGATTTAGAAGAGAAGGAATTTAAAATAATGGCTCTGGCTGAAATAGTGGCATAAGAATAATATAACATATAACATTAATCCTTTGCCGAAACATTATCTTCGCAATTACTATAATTTCTTTTCCCATTGTAATAATTTCTTAGAAGCAAAAGGAGAATTGTGTGTATATAGTGAGCCAATATTTACTCGAATGCTTAGATTTAGAAGAGAAGGAATTTAAAATAATGGCTCTGGCTGAAATAGTGGCATAAGAATAATATAACATATAACATTAATCCTTTGCCGAAACATTATCTTCGCAATTACTATAATTTCTTTTCCCATTGTAATAATTTCTTAGAAGCAAAAGGAGAATTGTGTGTATATAGTGAGCCAATATTTACTCGAATGCTTAGATTTAGAAGAGAAGGAATTTAAAATAATGGCAGCTGAAATAGTGGCATAAGAATAATATAACACATAACATTAATCCTTTGCCGAAACATTATCTTCGCAATTACAACAATTACTTTTCCCATTGTAATAATTTCTGAGAAGCAAAAGCAGATTTGTCTGTATATAGTGAGCCAATATTTACTCGAATGCTTAGATTCAGAAGAGAACGAATTTAAAATAATGGCTGAAGTAGTGGCTTCTTACTAGAATCCTCATCGCGAGTCTTGCCAAAGAGGGGCAAGGGATTAATACAAGAGTTAAGATTTACGTGCTAGATATATCTACGTCAGTATTAGGAAGACATTCGATTCAAGTCGCGTGAAACTTTTCCGAATTAGACGAAGCTGTACCGCGATCAAAATGTTGGCCAATCGAATAGAATAAAACGAAATATAAAAAACGCAGGAATAAGATTTTGTTTGAAAGTAAATGATTCGGTATTTACCTGGGACACTTGGGGATCCTGGTAGCTCCTAACATAAGCTTCCAGATCAGCATGGCTGAGGGTCTGAGCGGTTTGCTGCTCGCGTTCCGGCGGCGACGGGACGACATACTCTTCGTCACCCAGCGCTTTTCCCTCGCGATCGACGCGGGGCCATAATCTCGGCTCCTCTTCCACATTGGCCCTGTTCCGCGACTCGAAAGTCTCCGCTGGGATCTTCTCGCAGCGCTCCATGACGGTCTTCAGCTGCAACGAGGAAAATCGTTGTTCCGTCTAAGAGCCATTCGAGGTAACTGTTCCCTAGTAGCTATCCGAACCGCGTGCACGCCGGCTGCGTAGGTAATTCGTTGCGTAATCGCGCGTATGCGAGGTTCACCGGGGACCATAATCCGGCTGTTAAAGCTGAGTATCCCGTTTTTTTTTGCTGGGGGTGCACGGTGCGCATCGTTCAATTGAAAATCTAATGCAACGATCTAATTACGCCAGCTAATACGGAAGTCCTATACATCGAGCAAAACGAAATTCGCATAATTTACGGGCGCATTAAGACCGATGCCGTCTCGCAACGCGTACTGGAAAGAGTGGAATCCGGTCCGCGAGATATTAATATTGGAATAATCTTTCAGAAAAAATAAAAATCAAGTTATTCGACAGCGGCGGATGCTGGTTTCATCTTCGAGTTCATACGCCAGAATTCAAGTTAAATCGGAAAAAATGGCTCGACTTATTCTATTACGGATGAAAAAATTTGCATAACACATTTTAAATAACTGAACGTGGATGGTTCGATCTCAGATTTGCATGTCGAACGATCGACACCAAATCTATCATTGCGGCTACAATGATCGGTCTCACATTTTTCATTTTTTTAAGAAACGATCGAATAAATTCCTTTGTACGAGCTTACGTTGTAATAAAAATGGCGAAAAGTCTAAGTATATTGATGTAGTTTATAATAAGATCTTTATAATAAGATGTAGTTTATAATAAGATCTTTAGTTACAACTTAAATCGTTATATAGTTTATAATATTATAAATTGTAATAGATATAGTTTATAATATCTTTAGTTACACCAAACGTTTATTAAATAATATAAAATTCTAGAAAATTTGTTATAAATATTTCAGAGTTTTTGCCCCTTTATAATTTTAAAATAATTATACTATAAATTTTTAT